AATCATACGATGAAAAGCATCGAAGAAATACTGAAAAGCGTACCGAAATCTTATCGTAAGCATGCACACTTACTGATGAAACATTTGCTTCGAAAAGCTGTGTCCGATAGACTTTAGCTGGGACGTTCAAGGAATCGTGACTATAGATGGTAATGTCGTGAAAGATTCGAATATCACTGACTTAATAAACGATGCAATGCGCGAGAGAAAAACTGTGAAACAATGGGTAGAAATCAGTTTGCACGATTACTTCATGTGTTGAACATACCTTCTGTACTGGTGAGAAATAAAAGATTATTATCTACTCACGGTGCTGCTGTAAACAGCATAAAACTTCGACCACACGCGAGTTCCACGCCTTTTATATTAAAAGTCGATCCGCGTCGATTGTGTCGAGAGCACGAGGAAGGAGAAAACGTAAAAATTACGAACAAGAAATAGGCGAGGAAAGCTCGCTGATTCTTTCTCGTACACGAAAAACTGATACCCTCGTATTTTTACAAACGGGAAAAAATCGGTTAATCGGTTGGAAAAAACTGAGATAATGATGACGTTTGAAAAACTATACTACGATCCGTCGCATTATGCGGGCTATTCGGCGGTGGATAATAAACTTGCGCCGTTAAATCGAATTTCTCGCGGGAAGAAGTCGTATGCTGGCTCGAATCGCAAGACACACGTTGCACCGACCATTGCGCAGAAACTTTCCGCGATTGCATTACAGTGTGACAAACATTGACGATGTGTGGGAGGCAGATTTGAAATCTAAAAAGTTACAATGACGGTTATTCCTATCTGTTAGTAATTATAGATGTATTAAGCAAATACGTCTGGATAGAACCGCTACGTGACAAAACGAGCAACAGCGTGATAAAAGCTTTTCAACACGTACTAGCGAAAAGCGAAGAGCGAGTATCTGTATACTTACAAACGGACAAGGGTAAAGAATTTGTTGCGCATCCAATGCAGAAATTTCTTAAAGAAAACGGTATTCGTTTTCGAATAACGCGTAATCCGGACATTAAAGCCGCCATCGTCGAGCGCTTCAACACTGAAGGAGCGAATAAGGCGTTATTTCACGCATAAAAATACGCAACGCTACATCGATGTTCTACAGGACATTGTTGCGCTTACAATCACACGCGTCACTCATCCACGAGAATGCAACCTGCGGTAACGAGAGAAAACGCACTTAACGAGAGTATCGCTTGTGAAAATATATTACATCATTAGAAAAACGACATATTAAAGAAACGGGCGCAAAAGATTAAATATCGCGTTGAAGATCTCATTCGTATCAGTAGGGCGAAAGCTGCTTTCGAGAAAGGTTACGAGGCTAAGTGGAGCGAGGAAATATTAAAAATTTATCGTGTTCTCGATTGCCGAAATCCTCACGTGTACGAGATTTAGCAGATGAAATCATAGACGGTATTTTTTATAAGCAAGAATTAGCTCGAGTTGAGAAAAACTTAGAGGGAGAACAGTTTATCGTCGATCGCGTGATAAAGAGTAGCGAGCGAGCTAATAAGCAAGTGCTAGTTAGTTGGCGTGGTTATCCCATGCAACCGCACTCACGAGCGTGACGCAACTTCGTCGCGCGTCCACAACAGATTTCCTTATGCAATCGGATTACGGGTGACGTTAAACGAAACGCGATAGAAAGGCGTCTTCACGCGGCCACTCTTAAGGGCAACGCAAAATCGCGAAACAATAGTTGGGCGTCAGGCACGAGTGAGCGTGCCACTCTTTCTCAAAATACGCGATATTTCTCTATGCAATATTCTAACAGGCTGTGAACGTCGACGGGCTCTCAACCGGTAGCTCAGCCTCGGAAATGGCAGAGGGGCGGTTCGTGGTCGAGGATCGAGGATCGTTTGAAGAAGCGAATAGTAACGACAATAAAGCACACAAGAATTAATAATAACAAAAATAACAAGTGTATTGAACAAGTCTTTGACTTTCATTTACATTTGCCGACAAAATTGTGACGATAAGAACTAACCAACCGCGATAGCTGTTTCGCACCGGCCTTGAAATGCTTTACGCGGTGCGTACCTCTTTCGTTAGCATTCTGCGGCACGAGCTCACGCCACGCAAGAATGCTTTCGCGAATTATGCGAACAATAATTTGCCGCTTCATGGCGAAGCCCCGCTCGACCGGAAGAAAAGGACAGATAAGCACGAAAGCTTGACGCTACGCAATCTCAATACGGCGAAATATTCGCCACTAGTAATGACTACAATCAATTATCGTAATTATCAGAACACAAAGCGCCGATACTCTAAAACATGCAGATCGTGTGCTGCAAGATTTCGACATTAAGACACGCGGCAATACGGCCGCATGGAACGTCGACACGAAAATATGACACGCGACACGCTTACATTAAATGATGAGGCTGTGGCCTTGGCGGACGCAATAACTTCCCCGATTGCGAATGACCGTGCTGGGAGGCGATCCGTTTGCTCGTGTTCCGCGGAAATCTACAGCACGGCAATGTCACGTGCTCTCACTACGTTAGGCTCGAGAATAACGTTTCGTTCGGATCTCTCGGACTCGGAACTGGCGACTTTACAAAGATGACCGCGTTCGTCTCATCGTGACCTGCAGTTCCTCGTCTCGACTCTCCTGTCTCGCAGTCAGCTCGCTGATTTTTCGTCCTGCGTCCTTCTCACGTGTTCTCGCTTGGCGGGCCACAGCACAAGTGCCGGGCGCTGATCCTCCTGGAGGCACGCAGGGCTCATTATCCGCGCGAGGGAGTCTTATCGCGCCTTATTGGTGCGTGGCGCCGCGGCTCCGCTAATCGCGGGAACCGCGTCATGCTCGTGTCGCATGTCCTGGCACGCGGAATTCGAAGGGCCGCAGGATCTTCTCGGGCCGCCTCGAGGCCTCGAGGTGCCTTCTCGGGGCTCTCGCCGTCGTAGAGTTGGGGCGTAGAGTGGCCATCCCCATCCTGCCATTTCACTCCTCGTTTCGCCTTGTGTCTGGAAGATGATGCGATAAAAGGTGTCTTGTGACAACAAAAAGGGCGAAATAATGAATGATATCACCTGTGTGCTACCCAGGGGACAAGGTGTCGTGCGCCCCGGCAAATTCGTCAGCAGCGGTCGTTACTCGGCTTTCAATCTTCGCTGTCTTCCTTCTTCTCTCTTCACGGTCCGGTGAGGCGGCGTCAATCTGCCAAGATCGTAGGAGTCGCCAGTTTCTATAACTCTCGGTACGGAAAAGTACAAAAAAAGGAAACGAAAACGGTAACGCGAAACGCGTGAGACACGCAAATAATGTCGCGAAAAAGCACAGATGCGTCCGCCCCCTAAAATGTGGAAAGACTCAAGACGCCAGACTGCACTATTCGGTCGGATCGTGTGACCCTTGTGACGGAAAACGTCACGTCACACCCAGTAAGTTTGATACCTGGATTCCGGCATCGTGTTTAATTTCTCTTCGTGATGGCGGAGAAACAATTTCTTCTGGTACTTCCGAGTAACAGCAATATGCGTCATTTTCCGAATAATATAACGTCGTCCTTCATCACGGAATTACCTCACTCTATAGTGTTGCATGGACAATTGCGATAAGTGAGATTCAATTTCCCTGTATCTTTTTACATGTACGTCAGAATGAAAATGTGATTAGATTCGTCGATGTTAAACCCGATGAGGAGACGAATGGCCCGTTTATGGCAAAAGAAGTTCCATTTCCAAATGGAATTTACAACGATATCCATGAGCTTACTGAGGCGATTAATATCGCGTGTAAGGTGCCGAATCGTATTTTTATTTCAAACAGCAAAGAGCGTCTGGCGGCAAAGTCTACATAAGTATTAACTGCGATGAAAAATGCAACATGCTACATCATATAAACTTTTCCGATAATCTTCTACAAATGCTAGGTTTCTTAGCAGCAATTTCCAGTAAACACCAATTTTTTTCCAAGCTCGCGATAGGTAAACCTAATTCCAATGAGACAGAAGAGAAAACTTTTCTTACTCATGGATTTAAGAATAAGAAGATGGGACAGCGACATACAATCAGTTATTGGAGTAGCGAACTCTATAATTTGTGGCGTGCTATCCCTGATAAAATGTTTGTATATTATGATATTTGTGCGCCTTATATAATAAGTGATGTGCGCACTCCTCTTCTCAGAATAGTACCGATCGAGATACGCAGTCATAATTACGCATTTGGTGCAAATTTGGTGAAGTATTTCTCATTTCCAAATTATATCCCATTGCAACGAACAAATTTCAGAACGATTAAAATAGATATGAGATCATCTTGAAAATAAAATTCCATTCGAATTCGGTACGCTGACTGTGACGTTGCACTTTAAACGTAACTTTCTCTCGTGTACACAAAAGCGTGTCGATAGTGCTAGCCTATAGTTAAAAACTCGCGATGGAATATGAGAAGTATTTTGATGCGGGGGATACAAATAGCAGAAGTGGAATTCCTCGTGTTTTCGCCGGTTCACTCTATCAACGCAGACATGGAATCGGAAGCTTTTTCGGTGGGTTATTTAGAAAAATACTACCTTATTTAAATAAAGGTGCGTGTGCTGTTGGAAAAGAAGCGTTACGCGCTGGAATTAACGTGATAAAAGACGTCGAAAATAATAAACCGTTAAAGGAAGCGGTCAAAAGTCGGCTCGTGGAATCGAGGGGTAATCTGAAGAGAAAAGCCAAAGAAAAAATAAGTTCCCTGATGAGGGAATGTCTGGATATAAAATATCCGCGAAATCCGCGGCGCTTCAGTTTCCACTCGGTGGTCGAGATAGACATATTGTGCATCGTAAACGACGTCGAGGGGTCAAATGAAAATCATCGAGAAGTACCACAGGGAAGAAGAGCAAAAAAGTGACAAAGAAGAAAAAGAAAATTCGTGCTGCTGGAAGAAAAACCAAAAAAACCATCCGCTAGGAAACATCGTGCCAAGAAACGCGACGTATCCGACATATTCTCTTAATTGAGATACGATTTCGTGGCTGAAGAAAAAGCATGTCCTTTCTTCATACCCACTCAAGCGAGTGCATAAAGAGCGGACTCGATCTTTTCTTTCTGACACCTACGCAAACCAGCATTGAGAGTTCGCAATGGATTTATTACAAACCTATAACTTCGCTCACGGACGACTCGCCCATAGAATTCGTCATACCTGGAGAAGACTATCTGGATCTCACTCACACCATGTTGAGCCTTCGCATACGCGTAGAAAGCGAGCGCGGGGAGAGTACATCGGTCGCATCCGACAGCGGGGCAAAAGTAGACCCTGTAAATCATTTACTGCATTCCATGTTCAACCAAATTGACGTATATTTCAATCAAAAGTTGGTATCGCCACCAAACAACGCTTACGCGTACCGCGCGTACATTGTTATTAAATTATGCTTCACTCGCAAAAACTTGCTACTCGCACATGCCAGAATGCTGAGTAAAACTACCGCCAAGTATCCCCTTACGAGAGTGAAGTTAAAACATTCATGATACATGCCGGCGTCGTGGAGGAATCGATAGACAAATACTCGGACAGCTACCGAAACGAATAATAGTCGGCTTTGTCGATAACAAAGCGTTTAACGGTGATAGAAAATTACAACCGTTTAATTTAAAAAATTACGGAATAAATTTCTTTTCGCTGTAGCCGATAGTTTGCAAATACCCAGTAGACCGATACAATCAAATTTTTCGAAAAACGAGCCATTCTACGTTGAAGCTTACACATTATTCTCGGGATTAACCGGCATTTACTTTCTGAACGAGGTAATTCTATAAGTAGATACGATTACGCCAACGGCTATACTCTTTTCACTTTCGATCTTACTCCAGATCTATTCGCTAATTGTGCAGGACATTGGAATCTCGTAAAACACGGAAGCTTACAATTAGAATGAGATTCGAAAAAGCTCTTTCAGTACTAATTGTATCGTCTATGCCGAGTTTGATAACGTTTTAGAAATGAACTCCTCGCGTCAAGTCATTGTCGCCTTTTCCGGTTAGTCCTGCGGCTTTCGCAAGAAAATTATTTTCCCCCCACTACACAGTTTTTTCTCATCTAATTGGACGCAAGATGACAAAATAGCTTCAGTCTTATTCACGACACCAACATTTCGTGACGTAAAAAGAGTAGCGAAAATTCGAATATCATAATAGATATAGTCATCGACATACAAGGTTTTTGAGATGTTGAAGAAAACTTTATTCCGAAAGAAGTCGCGATTCTAGCGATTAATGCAACGATCACCGGACATTGGATTATGACGTCACCTGTCCATTTGAAGATTTACCCGTGAGAGCAAGTCGAGAAAACAACTGGCTTACATGAAATTATCACGGAATTGAATGGTTCGATGGAGATGTCAATCCAGAAAACTTTACGATACATCTGAGTGACATTACACGACACGCACGCTACATCTATACCAGAGAACAAGAGAAAGCACGTTATCTGAGTAACCTACTTTCTAGAAATGTATATAATCTTTAGGAAGCAATATCTCCGGCTTTCAAAAATTTACCAGATTTCAAAGGCCGTGGACAACGTTGCACGCATCACGGATTTCGAATCAGCGTCGAATCACATTGCGTCTTACGCAACGCTAACAAATTGAATTGTTGGCTAACTATACGACATAGCAGCAATTCAAGTTACAATAGCTTTCCCTCAGAAAATTGGAGCGAGAGCGACGTCGAGAGCGAAAAAACTGACAGCGAGAATTCTTCAATTCAATTTAAAAATCAGAAACACAATATCATTCGCAACATTGAAGCGTGGAGGAAATATCGTGACAGAAAAGACGAACCAAAGTGAGAACAAACAAGCGACACACACACACACAGACGAGGAGAAAAAAGATCTTTCAAAATTCGACTCATCGACCGATAGAGGTAAAGCTAACACTAACGTCTCGCAAGCGTTGAGCATTTTAGGGAGTTCCACATTGCATACGCTGACAAAAGAGGTACATTTTGAATTTACGCAAACATTTCCTCTCTCGTGCTCTCCGACGACGAGAAATAAATTCGCAGGAAATTTTAAACGCATTACATCATCTCAGTGTCCGACATGCAGGGGTATCCTGCCGATCGACTGCCGAGGGTGTGGACGAAGTTGACTGCCATTGTCGCTAACACGGACGATCACGATCGACCTGGCCAACACTAGGTCGCCTTCTATATCAATGAATACGAAACGTATTTTGATAGCTACGGCTTGCCGCTCTTAGATTCAAGATTGTTCTTACGACTTCGACGAAACTCCACCACGTATCGATGGAATACGACAACACTGCAAGGAATACTTTCTCAAACTTGTGGACAATACTGTATTTCTATATTTTTTGTGTAATGGCTATAATCTTAACCAGTTTCTTGATCTGTTTACCTCTGATTGTAAGCTAAATGATCGATTAATTGTACAGTTTCATAAAATTTTTCTTCATTGTAAACATAAATTCGTAAATTCTCATGCTGTATGCCGTTAAACGTGTACTCTTTCAAAAAATAAAATAACTATTTCGTATAATATCTCTTTTAAATAAACGTTTTGAACTTATAAATATTGCCTGTTTCTTACTCCTACCCCCCTATTCTCATTTACAATAGATACATTTCCTCTCGTATTACAGACTCAGATAATGTATTGGGTCGTCCGGAAAGTCCGTGCGTATTTTCCGCACGGACTTTCCGGACAACCTTGGGTTATCCGGAAAGGTCCGTGCGGAAAATACGCACGAACTTTTCGGACGACCCAATACATTAAATACAATACATAAATATAGAAAGAATTTTTTTAAAGCAATGCTCGAAGATGTCGCGCCAGTTGAACATGTTTATTCTTGTTTTATCTCCTCCAATTCTTCCGAGCAAAAGCAAGACTCTCTTTAGACCCGGAAATTTTCGTATAAGACTTCATCTCTCATACACAAAAATATTCACTAAAACGCCAACACGTCGGAGATGTTATGCCGCGCCAACAAAAAAATGACCGTCATAAAATCAACCGCTATTTATACCCCGGTGTTCGTACTCTGCCCTCGCGACAAAAAATGTTATAGTCCCAATCTCCACTCACCATTTTTTTCAGACTCTATCCTACATTTTGTCTGAGGCCCTCTACCACTCTCCATCTTCTCCAATCACCTTGTGGGTAGATATGGAGCGAACCAATCAGATCTTTGACAGGTATAGGGCGAACCAATCAGAACACAACATTTAATTACCCTATTACTCCCATCCTTCACTCCTCGATCAATCAGAGCGCGCCCTTTTTTCAGACTGACCCGTCTAGGTCACGTCCACGGCGCCGGAGGGAGACGTGGAGGGGGTTTGTTTCGACACCCCATGGCTGCCCATATACTACTCACGTATTAAACTGAGGTGGACTAAACTGAGTTGAAAAGTTTTTTACGATTTTGCAGTTTGCACAATAATTAACGAGATATTAACGTTTAAAGATAGTTGAATACGTGCGTCCGCCTGATCTTACTATTGTCGAAGACACAATATATAATATTATATATAGTAGCGCAACTCTTTGTCGCCACCTTTGATGATAGTGTTGACCAAAAATGAAATGCGCATGCGCGAAATAATTAAGTTCTCTAGTAACATCTGAATTTCTTTCTCAGTTGATCTTTATTTTTCCTCTCTCTCTCTCTCTCTCTCTCTCTCTCTTCCCCTTTCCCTCTCCCCCTCCCCTCTCTCTTTCTTCGTTGTTTGTACGTACATCAAATTAATCTAAATGTAATAAAACCAAAAGAAAAATTCATAATTGTAACGCTTGGCAAAACAAAAAAAAAGACAAAAATAAAAAAAAATGAAATTATATAAATATTGTATGATACAAATATTATTGTAAAAATATTTTAATTAACAACTGCTGCACACGATGCTTATTTTCCTACTAGATCGCTTGTGTTTTAGTAAATTGTTAGAATTGCACCACGTAGAAAGCAGATTTTCTAATTAAAACGAAAGCAATCCAACAATTATATCACTTACAGTATTTAAGCGAGACTGACGAAATTGGTGTGTTTGCAGATATTTGTGTATGTACGTGAATATATGTGTGTGTGTGTGTGTGTGTGTGTGTGTATGTATGATTTCAGTTAATAGTTCATCTCTCATTGCATTGTTGTCTTATTTTCAGTTTTGTTGCTAGTGGGCTTTGTAACAGCAATTTTGCTGATGTCTAACTACTTGCAAGCTAATGGCTACTGTATTATATTTTATTTTATGTTATGTCTGCTATAGCCTATTATACCATATTTTATGTCTATTACATTGTTAACACATAGTCTTTCTCATAAAGCTTCGCAATAAACTAAATTAAACTAAACTAATCATAATTTTTTTTCTTCTATCTCTTTCTCTAATCCGTATTTCAGCTACTCAAACATTTAAATGGTCCTGAAAGAGAAAACAGAAAAAGAAAAAAGTGAGATAGAATATTAGATGACGTTACTAAGCAACTTACTTATTTCGCGCATGCGCACTCCATTTTGGCCAACATAAAATCAGAAGAGTTGTGCTACTGTATATACTGTGCCGAAAGTACGGCTCACTGATTGCACGGCGCGCGGATCGTCAGGAGTGAGATGACCTGTGGGTCCCAGAGGGGACACCTGCTTGAGAACATCTTCTTATAGTATCTAAAATAATAGTATTGTTCTTACTGATGACCGATAGATTCCAAAAATTCAAACAATGGTCTTCCTTATATTCAATAATAAATTTGAGTTTATCATGCTATTCATTAAAATAATTTAAAATATGAGTGATCTTTAGATACGATTATAAAGACATCATTATGTTACGTCCTATAAACGTCACGATTCTTTTCTTTCGAAAGAATCAGCTCCATGTCGCGATTACGGTTGGCGCCTATGAGATTCGAGTGAAGTCTGCTGATAATGGTCTGACAGATCTGAAAAGAGGGACCGGACAGGCTCCGCGAAAACTCATAAACGCCAATCAATCCGGAAGGAATAACAACCTTAATGCAGGCCCGAAAGGTGACAAGATTGCAAAAGACATTATAAATGTACCAAAGTCACGCAATAACAAAAATCCAAGCTTTGTCGTTCCAGACTGACCAACAATTTCATCTTAAGAAAACAGGCGCCACGTCGCGCTTAAAAAATCATAAAACGCATGAGATAACTTTTCGGTAACGTTATCTAGGATCGGACTCGCGACTGACAATGGTTGCCCTGCACGCAAAACTAGTTGTGCACGGTAATCGTCTGTTTACCTAGCCATATTTCCCGTGAGGATAACAGAATTCATTATCCGTCTGGAGCAATCTTGCCTCTTTAAAGAAAAACGTAAATCATTTCTCTTTTTTAACGATGCACTTTAGATTAACAACGATAGGACGCTATAAAAATCGTAAATCTCACGTGACATTGCAACTAACTATTGCATCCTAGACAAAGGACATTACGCTTTTTTTTCGGGGTATAAATAGAGATCCCGCGGAAGCG